CATAATTGTCGATTATTCCTTTGAAATTGTAATTGCGATTATTAATTTGCGATTAAATGAATGATGTTTACACCTTTGTTTGAAGCAACTGCATGCCATATTTTTATATGAAAATAAACAAGCTGAAAACACTAACTGAAAAACTTTTATTGCTTTTCTATAGTATTAAGCCTCAAATGTCAACTATACATCGGATTGGTTTCTCTTTAAATAAAAAGGTAAAAATATGCATGGTATTATAATGTTATACTAAAACTAAAATTGTTCCAAACAATGGAAAAACCCTTAAGATAACATGCACAAAGAAAAAACGCATCTTAAGCGTGCAGAATAACATAAGTGGACTTTGAACGATTAATTGATGCTTTGAACGATTATGTAATTGTGGCATCCGTAATTGTAATCGCGATTAGAAATTCGATTAATTATGCAGCCCTAGTCGTAGTTAATGGTTTGTTAATGGCGGAGCCATATTTAGATATTCCAATATCTCTGGAACTGAACCATGCAGGGCCTTTAAAATTAAGATGGCAAAAGGAAAGTTTGTTAAGACCCAAAATCTAAAAGGTCATTAAGATATATTTAATACTTGTTGAGTTACAGGCATGCAAACTTTGGAGAAAAAAACCTTGAAAGGTGCTTTTCCCCCATTTTTGAATGGACTGTATTGGCATATATTGCAACAAAGATTGCTAAAGTCAGCATATTTTATTAATAGAACTGCTGCTATCTTTCTAAAGTCATTTTACCCCCCTGAGTTTGGCTCTGAATCTCAGGTGAAAATTGTCATTTTGAGCCCCTCTACAAAATAGTGGATTACTCGGTAGCTAAATCTTCTTCTATGATATTTAATACTTGGCTTTCTTCTTCATTTATGTACGTCTTTCACCAGAAAAAGTAACATTTGAGCTGGGGATCTCTGGTTGAGTTGACACAGAATGACCCTGGGACCAAGGAAAGCGCCACCTGCTGTCAGAGAGTGAATTTGCGTTCTCATTCTGACAGTCTGCTGTTTTAACAAAGCTAAATCCGATTATATGTGACCCTGGCCCACAAAACCAGTCATAAGGGTCAATTTTTTGAAATTGAGATTTATACATCATCTGAAAGCTGAATAAATAATCTTTCCATTGGTGTATGGTTTGTTAGGATAGGACAATATTTGGCTGAGATACAACTATTTGAAAATCTGGAATCTGAGAGTGCAAAAAAATCTAAATATTGAGAAAATCATCTTTAAAGTTGTTCAAATGAAGTTCTTAGCAATGCATATTACTAATCAAAAATTAAGTTTTGATATATTTACAGTAGGAAATTTACAAAATATCTTCATGAACATGATCTTTACTTAATATCCTAATGATTTTTGGCATAAAAGAAAAATCTATAATTTTGACCCTTGCAATGTATTGTTGGCTATTGCTACAAATATACCCCAGCGACTTAACACTGCTTTTGTGCTGCAGGGTCACATGTGATCTTATTTAAATCAGAACCTGCACATTCTTCATGTAGCATCTTTGTTTGGGTCATGATTAAAATGCAGTGCTTGCCTCTAATTTTAAATGCACTCATATTTTCTTCATGCTTTCATTCTTTCCCACGTTTTGCTTAAAAAATTAAATATTTAAAAAAAGTCAGCCATCAACCATTTGCTGTAAAAACATCGGCAATCGGAACCAGCCTTGAAAAATCAAGATGGTGATGCTGAATGAAATGGTTTGTTTGGTTTGTGTTTCCCATCTCGCAGGCAATGCTGTGGAACCTGCCAAAGGTGCGTCCACTCTGGACCTTCAGTCTGCAAGAAGATGCTCATCCGCAGAGAGCGGGGCAGATGTTCAACCCTCCTCTCGCACACTGCGTTGATGCCGCGTCCTGCGGTAACGTGTTTGCCTGTGCTGCTGAGGATGGCTGCATCCACCTCCTGCGGGTGTCTGAAGACTCCAGGCTCAGGGAACGAGGGATGTTCAAGGCTCATTCTCAGGGAGCATCGCAGGCTCACTTCATCAGCTTTCTGTCCCATCCGTACTGGCTGGCCACCGGAGGAAACGACGGGCTCGTGGCTCTCTGGGACCTCAGTGAAGATGCTCTGGTGGCCAATGAGAGGAAGCGTAAGAGCCGCAAAAAGAAACCTAAAGCCAGAGCGAAGGCAGTCTCTCAAGTTCAAAACCAGAAACAACAGATGAGTGGGGAGGAAGCAGAAGCTGGCAGTGCTTCCTCTAGTTCAGAGACGCATGGAAAAACCGTGCCAAAACTGTCTTTTAATCACGGGGAGAAGGTGAACTGGGTTTGTCCAGCTGTGTTAAAGGGAAAGCCGAGTCTGCTGGTGACAGACCAAAGTTCCAGTCCATCTGTGTATTCGCTGGATGCGCTATAATGTTTGGGAAATCATATTAAAGTTATGTAAACTTAATGCAAGATCTACAGCTTAGATTATGCCTTTCTCAGTCATTTATTGCTCATCTTTTGGTCTGATTTTCAGAGGTGGACCAAGTACACAACTCTATCCATTGTGAAGACAGATTTTTACTTAAGTAAAAGTACAGAAGTACTTGCATCCAAAAAGTACCAAAAGTACTTGTCAATGCACTGTTGTATTATTGTTGTATGTAATATTTGCAATGCCTCTGAAGCAACTTACAATATATTAGACTTACTGAATGCACTGACTAGCTTGTAGTAACTTTGGAATTAAAAGCTTTTAGAATGTAAAAAAAAAACAGGTTTATTTAACGCCACTACATACTAGTGGAAAATCACTACAAGGCTGATTACTGATAGGCTGTCTGAAGAAAAAAAATCACCCACTGACTTTCAAAGCTGCTACATAGTAACGACTTTCTACTTCGAGGACCTTGATAGAAATGTAGTGGAGTGAAAAGTACAATATTTGTCTTTCAAATGTACACTCTAAAAAATGCTGGGTTGTTTCAACCCAACTTTGGGTCAAATATGGACTAACCCAACCATTGGGTTAAATTTTTACATTACATTTTTAACCCAAAAGTTGGGTTAGTCCATATTTGACCCAAAGTTGGGATGAAACAACCCAGCATTTTTTATAGAGTGTAGTGAAGTTAGTCATAAGTTTCCAGGATACAATACTCAAGTACAGATACGCAAAAAGTGTACTTAAGTACGATACTCAAGTAAAAGCACTTCGTTACTCTCCACCTCTGGCGATTTTCAGGGTGACTAAATGCCTTTCACTGAGTTTTTTTTCCTGTTTGTTTAGACCAAATTTAGCTTGAGGTGAACTGAAGAGTGAAGATGAGTACGCATGTCAACCTGTTTGTAAAACTACTTTTGCAGAGTTTCTGTCAGGTGCATCCAAGAGATACTGTACTATCCCATGAGGCCATGGGAGAGAATTTGTAAATGGCGGGAAAGCACAATTGATGTTTTAGGTCACCCGACAATGATAACATGGCAGATGGTCCGGAAGTATGGATACTGTAGAACAATAGTACATTTTCATAAGCAAAAAAAGAGAACATTTATGGTTTGTAAGGTAAATTTGTGTTATAATAATGCTTTCTAATTAAGAAATATGGACCTCATTTATAAATCATGCATATGCACAGATTTGATCTTGAGTGTGCATATGCTAAAATCCAAGCCAGAGTTTATATTTGTAAAAGCCGTCTTTGTAATGGAAAAGTGCTTCGCACCACATCAGGTTCTGAGCAGATGTGCACACTTTTCTTTCGGGAGTATACTGCAGGTGTTTGGAAATCTAAGCAGTTCTTGCTATTCAGGGCAGAGATCTGAAACCATTCAGCTGTGCACAATTTCAAGATCATTTGCGAAGGTGTGCTTATATTCATTTCTCTGAATCACATATGCACATTTGAGAATGACTTTAGATCAAATGTATGATGGTAGATTTTATAAACCAGGCCCTATCCCAGATAGCAAAAATCATCTGGGCCAGATCTGGCCCAGACCCATCTGAAGTTCTGGTCCAGATCCGCACAACGGACTCGGGCCGGTGTCTTTTGGCACAATGGGCCAATACCGGCACAGATCCGTTTTTCCCGATCTGGACCAGAACTGGGTCAGCTCTGGACCAGATGCGGATTCCTTTATGGTGATTTGGCCCAAATGTGGGCCGGATCTGGTCCAGCACCATGCCGGATCTGGGCCAGCTCATTTTGTGTGTGTATATATATATATATATATATATATGCCTACACACACACACACACACACACACACAAATAAGTTGTATACATATCTAGAATTCAAATACAATTAGTTTATTTGTATAGTGCTTTTCACAATACATATTTCAATACAGCTTTACAGAAAATGCATGTTACTTTGTTACAAATAAAAAGAGTAATGTCCATATGCCACAGTATTTGTACAGTTCCCGGATAATACAAATCATATAAGTAGATTATGACTGTATTTAAGCATAAATTATGAAAGCAATGATTACAAGCATGCCTGGGTCCGTGTTACAGCACTGAAACCGATGTGACTGTAACGCGGATTTGCCGGTTTTAAAACAGATCTGGCGCGAAGTCAGCTGCTGTCTGGGATATAACTATATATTATTGTGTGTCATCTGTACTGTTCATCAGTAGGGTATGCATACAGAAAATACCTCTGGTTCAGAGAATAATTTGTAATGGCTACTCAACCTGAAAGTACCTTATTTATTGGAACCAAGCATTGTGGTTATCCATCTACTCTTGAGTAAACTAGTCTCCTAGGAAGATGCTTAACCTCGTTTAAGGAATATACTCAGGGACCTGGACTTGTCCTAGTAGTCTAAAATGCCATTTCACCATCTGTCAGTGCTGACATTATTGCTTTGAGTCTTATTGCCTCCATATCGTATGCCCTTTACAGACATTGAGTTGTTTTACTTATCGAATGACTTTAAACCAGCCTCATGCCACACAGAGCTCAGCTTGTTTTGAACCTGGAATGCTCCAGTAAAATACAGTACAAAGTACATCTTAAACATTTGAACTTTTTAGCCACAAAACTTTGGAAAGGCACCATGAAAACAAGCAGTCATAAGCCATCTTTAATATAATTTACACTCACACTTGCCTCTAGCAAAACAAAATACAACACAGTTGAACAGAAGTAAAATGTTGACCTGGCTCCAGTTTTAAATCAAAAAGAGCCCTGAAGTGAAAAGTGAAAACACGAAGGCAAATAGAAGTGTCAGTGTTTTCATTCATACAATATACATTGATTCTGGTTGAACACACAATGTGCTGTATCTGTAGGACATGCTGTATACTCTTGGATTGGTACAACAATACTGAAGAAAGAAAAAAAAATCCAGAGATCACAAAAAATGCTCTAAATTACAAGTTTATGAATGAGCTTAATTCTAGCTGTCGAGCTCTTCAGAGCTTAGCCAGGCACTTCTCTATAGCGTCGATATCAGCACCTCCATCTTCTTTGCTTCCACGTGCGCTGCACTCAATGAACTCCACCTGATTGGGCAGCTGAGAAAACTCAAAATCTTTGCCTTTCTTACCCAGATACACAGAACCCCCCACAGCCCCGTCCTGAGAGGAGAGGGCCGCAGAACGCGTCAATCTCAGAGTATTCCTGTGGAGCAGACACAAACCTACAATCAATCTGTAACAAGTAACAGCAACACATGTGACACCCAGTGTTGCGGAAAGTTACTTTTAAATGTAATGCATTACAATATTGCATTACTCACTAAAAAAAAGTAACCAATTACGTTACTTTGTTACTATTTATGGAAAGTGCGTTATATTAATTTCGAGTTACTTTTTAAATCTGGGCAGGGCTTGCTTGTTCGTTTTTAAAATAAAAAAAGTTATATTTTTGGCAAACGTAAAAGCGAAATGAATAATCCTCAGGCTGAAGGAAAAGTAAATTAACGTCTGTACAGTAGAACGCAGAAGAAAGTTCAGCAATAAAAAAAACTAAAGCAGCACAAATGTTTATCTAGAGTAATTTTTGGTTATTAGTATGGTTGAATTGGATCATCAAAGACACTGGTTAATACAATGGGAATAAATATTCTGAGTTGCATTTCATGGCTTTTATTCTTTTTTTTTTTTTTTGCAAGTGAGAAATTAATGCATGTTCACATTTATTCTAGAACTACAGTGACATCTCACTCCCGATTTCTCTCAGCATGGGGACAGGACAGCGGTCAATCAATAAATGGGAAAAAAAGTAACTTATTTGTAAAAGTAACTTGTATTAAAAAGTAACTAAATTAAAAAGTAATTTGTATTAAAAAGTAACTAAATTAAAAAGTAATTTGTATTAAAAAGTAACTAAATTAAAAAGTAATGTGTTACTTTACTAGTTAAGTTTACAGCTTAAACATTTGAACTTTTTAGCCACAAAACATTGGAAAAGTACCATGAAAACAAGCAGTCATAAGCTATCTTTAAAATAATTTACACTCACACTTGCCGCTAGCAAAGGCAATTTTATTCATTTTGAGAAATACTGAATCGTTTTTTATTGCAAGTGAGATTCATGTAACAGTAATCTGATTATGTAACTCGCATTACTTGTAATGCGTTACACCCAACACTGATGACACCAATGCTACTAGATGTTTCACAGAGAAGCACCTTGCATGTAAACCACCTGCACATTTACAAAGCCCACAGCAATGATAGTTCATCTCTGCAACAGAAAACACCTGAAACGTCTCGTTTCTAGTGCTGCCATTATTTCATGACTTAGTGTTACACATTTGCATAATGCACTCCCTTAAAGAACAGTTGGGTACGTGATTTCGAGGGCATAAAAAAAAAAACAATTTCATAGTTACCATAGATGTGATACTGTTTATAGCTGAATCCCCAAGCAGGGTTTTCAGAAGTACAGGCTTTAAAGAGACAGGAGCGTTTCTGAAATGCTCTGTTTAGCTCCCGTCTCTTTAAAGCCTGTACTTCTGAAAAGCCCAGTCTGCTTTGATTGGTGCACTGTACAGTATTAGACAAATACTGTTACTCATGTAAATGCATTCTAGCAGACCCCCAAAATAATATTATGAACTTGTAAATGAGCATAATAAGGGCACTTTAACCCTGAGACGGAAATGAGTGAATACTCACATCTCCTTCTCCAACTGCTGCTGAATTAATTTAGCTGATTTTGCCATAGTGATATCTACAGTAAAAGAAAGAAAACAAACATGTACTCCATACACATGAAATCCCTCTATTCACATATTTATGAAAAATACTTCATTAGTGATACAATCATTAGTGGTGCACAGTGTTCAGTCTGGTGAAAAAAAAAACTGCAGTGCACTTGCGTTCCCACTAAATCTTTACGACTCAAATTCAGAGCAAATGATGTTCTGTATTTTCTCTTTGAGGCATTGGCCAATTCTCACATCTAGAGCACCATGGATTGTAATTGAGAATGTTAAATTCAACAATAACCTTGTTTGTTGCAGGCTACCACAAGTGTGGGGGCATTTTTTGCCACTATGTTGTCTGTGAGGATGGAGTAGAGGAACTCAGCCACATCTCTGACGTCCTTCTGGAAGATGCTGCTGTCCACCACAAACACAACGGCTCTGCAATCCAGCAAAGAGCTTTCAGTCACTCAACCAAGAGGTCTCTGTCTGAACATCTAGCAGCTAGAAGTACTGATAAATGATTGCACGTTTATTCACACTGAAAGGTGGGAATGGTGTTTGAACTAAATAGACAGCAAATTTATGATGCATCATCAGGAATACAGAATCTGAGATGATCCACAAAAATACTGGGTAAGAGAAGATAACCACATGGGTTAAGGTTAGGTTAAGGGTTAGCACCTAGTTATTACTATAATAACTACATTGTATGCGAGTCAAAGACGAAAAAGGCTTTAAGCATAAAAAGTAATACTGCTTTAAATTGTTGTTGTTTTTCCCCAAATTTTTTGTTAAGTTTTCCGTTTAATTTAATTGCAATTTTGTTTTTGTTTTTACGAGCAAAAAATAAATATCATACATTTTCCCCTGATTTACAGAAGACACCCACTAAAATATCATTCAGTGTAACAATCTTGTCAGGCATATTTACACCAAAAATCAATTTATGACATATTAAAAGACTAATTACTTTCACCCCAAATACTAATTAGTTGTAATTTTAAATTTTTAAAAAGGTTTTGCCCATTTGTCAGTAAGAATTTTTTACTCATTTAAAACCCAATCAAATTTAATATGCTCACTCATTCTTTTATATATTTTAATATGTACAAAATTTGTACTCATTTAAAACACAATCAAATTTAATATGCTCCCTTATGCTTTTATGTATTTTATTATGTACAAGTCAGAATAAGCATGTTTTTTTTATTTTTACTTAACTATTGTGTTACACTGAATGACAATGTAACATTATTTCAACCAAATTTTAACATTTTATTCTCCAAAACTTATGTGAAACCTTAAAACTAGACACTTTACTTACATTTAATGTGCTTTCAATGGACATAAAATCCCTTTTGTAAATTTCTTTTGATGCGGACATCTTAACGTCTTAACATGCGGAACAGGGCAGTAAAATAAACTGCTACCTCTGATTTATTAATATATGCACCACAAAGTCCAAACAAATTATGCTTTTGATTATGAGGGCACATGAATTATATATATAAAAAAGATGTGCACAAATAATTAATTTATAATCAACATTATAACATTCCATTTTAAAAAAATTATTCCATGGTGAATTTATAAAGAGAACACAGGCTCAGTCTTGACAGAATTGGACTTAAATTATGAGAAAAGTTTATTATAATAATTTAATTTTTGCAATTGGCTGTTTGCATTACTTGTGTGTTTTTAAGTGCATGAGATAGAAGAGCACTGCATACACCTCTGACCTCGGTCTTGCATGTATACACATGTATTATATTTGCGCATTAGTTATTTGTGGACTTTCCGTTGTTTCTAGAGCGAGAGAGTGAAACTGTGTCCGTGGTACAACTAATGTGAAGAAAGCTCATCTCTGACGGATTGCTTCGTTTGCTTTAGCAGTTCAAAGATAAAAAACTGGACTGTTCCCCAGATTACAACAAGCCAGCCGGTCATCATGTGAATGTTCCCGCAGTGAGCAGGATCCCAGGAACCCATTCTTTCCATTCAAAAGCTTCCACGCAACTAATACTCTCAGTGAGAATGAACAGGCCTTCATGCGCAGTCAGAAAAGCTCACATTTATCTTCATAACTCACCGAGCCACGGCCTTGTGCTTCTCCACAATCTGAACTCTTAAACTTTCATGACCAGGAACATCGATAAGAGTCCAGCTGCCACCCTGCAATATCAAAAACATTCAGTGTGTTATTTAGCCAATTAAATCGTATGTTTAAAATCCACTCAGCTGCCTCATAACATCAAACGCACACAGTTGTAATGCTATTAAATAACTTACCCTGTCGTTTTTGCTCTTGTATGTGGCGCTGTTCTCTGTGATGGACGTCTGAGTTCTTACAAACTTCCCTAGTAATAACTGGGAAAACACTGCAAATCATTTCCAGTCTAATGACTGTGTGCCGCAAGAGTAAGAAAGCTTGTGTTGTGTAATCTTTTACTTTACTCACTCGAGTGAACAGAAGAGTTTTCCCGGAGTCACAGAGTCCCAGCAGCAGCACAGCGTTCCTGGCTTTACTGGAGCCCCAGAAATTCCCAAAGAACACTACGATTTCAGAAAAAGAACATGTGTGTGTGTGTAATGTCAGGAAAGTGTCAACCATAAAAGCTGATGCATCATATCAACAGGTCACTGTAATATAAAACAGTGTTCCGTTTCAGAAATGTCAAACTTTTTACTATGCAAGGACTTAAAGGGGTCATATGATGCTGCTAAAAAGAACATTATTATCGCATCATATGACCCCTTTAAGTACCGTCAGACAAGAAATGTTACAAAATGTTTTAGCATTCTCGTGGAAAAATTGATATTACACCGTTCATATTGAAATGTCAGAGTTCACAGTGTGGCTATTATGGGATGCCACTCAATTACAGTACCGGTAAAAGTGAAGCACTTCAGGAAGAGACCGCTGTTAAGGAAGAATATTTACAATAAACAATGCCATGAAAAGTTAATTTTCAAATTCTTCTTCAGTGTTGGTGTTAGCTATAAGACAGCCCGTTCTCAAATAACGTTACACTTGTGCAGTCTTCAGGTAGTCTGCAGGTATGTTATTTCAAGAGTCTTTGCCAGTGAATCTAAGCTTTGGTCTGAAGTTCTGAGCTGCTTCTGAATCTTCATGTAATCCCAGTGATGGTGAGATCAGATCAGAGTCAAATCATCTGTTAGAAGACTGCTTGTTCATACAAAAATACAACACTTTTTTTTATTATTATTGGGATGTGAACCCTCGTAAATGCCTCAAATATTTTTGTGAAACATCTAATGTGTCCAAGACACGTGCACAGTCAATATACAAACAATAATAATAGTTATGCTGGCTAATTCTAATAATGTCTTGTATGAATGTTTGCTTTGATATGACAATAAAGCTGCTTAATTCTTACCGATAGTGAGAACCACGAGCGCTAAAGCCAGGAATATCCCGAGGATGAAGACGGCTTCTTCACTCTGAATCTCTTTCAGGAAGCTCTCCATGAACTGCTCCTCAGAGAAGTCCTCCAGATCTAGATGAATCTTCTCGTCCATGTTTGATTGACCAGGCAGAAGACAGCGGAAGTGAATGACACGTGTACTAACTTCAGAGACTTGCGTAGTTCCGCGTTCTACTATGGTGACGGCTTACCTCATGAATATTAATAAGCATGCGCGGTCGTTACTGGCCAATCTGCCTGGAGGGTTGAGGTGCGGAAATAATTAATATTAATGAGCTAACCTTTGCCATAGTAGTGTTCGTTCAGCTCACCATGGAAATAAAATGTTTTTTTTTGTGTGTGTGTTTACCATATTTTAGAAATAGAATAAGTTGACACAAGTTACAATGTCAAATTAGCATAAAACGGGTCGGCCAGTAATTTATAAAAAAATTTTTTTAAAGATAAATATACATATTGTGTTTCCTCATTGTGTATTTTCAATTCAACGTCTGTTAAACTCTTAGGTTTAATAGATTGCTAGCGCGTTGACGCGATGTGTTAATTTTCTCATGGTTTACCAGGATAAACCAATCGCAGTTGTTTGTAATTACCGTTTGGGTATTCCCTTCAATCATTTAATTGAGATTGCTAGGGCATATTTTATTTTGCACCCTGGATACCGATCCTTTGAAAATTTTAATCGCACTTTTTTTTAATGCACAAACGTTGTGAGTTTTGAATCGGCTCGATGAGTGTCTGGTAGGAAACGGCATCGTTTGCAGTGTTGCCAAGTCCGCGGTTTTCCCGCGGGATTGGGCTACTTTAACACTGTCGCCGCGGGTTGAAGCGATCCTAATAACGTGATATTTTACCAGGGGAACCCCGCCAAAAAAAACACGTTTATTTTACCCCGCCGAACGTGATTTTTAACGATGGACCCCCCCTCGAAACACGACTGGGCTAGTTTTGGGCTTTTTTTGGTTAGCAATTGGGAGGATTTTATTGTGAAAACCTGGCAACCCTGACCGTTTGCCGTCGTGTCGCGTCGCGTGAGGACCGAAGATGGCGGCTAGCAGCGCGACGTCGGTGTGTCAGTACTGGAAGCGCTTTAATCTGCAGCAGCTGCAGGTCTGTGGATCTCTATTAACTGTTACATGTTCTCTTTCGTGTGTGTTCATGTGTGTTTGACTGCTGCATCGACTGATCGGTGATTGATTAGTTACCTTTGTTTATCGATCAGCTGCTGTGATGTAAACACTGTCCAAAGCAGTCGCAGAACAGACACGAACTAGCATTTAACGCTAGGCACAAGTTCGTTAACAGTATGAATAATTTGGCCTGAAGATCCTGACCTCGCTGGGGTCATATCTCGGTAGATTAACCGATAGTTATGAGTTAAAGCTAGTCAACCCTGACTGTCTCAGAGCCCTCAGTAGTGTTTAGGGGAGCTGTGAGGATTTCATCACGCTTTCAGTGACTAACACACGGAACTATAATTCATCTGATTCATATTTACACGCACTTGTCACAACTTTTCATTGTGTATGTGGTTGTTGGTGCTTTTAGCATTAAAAACACAACTTGTATTCAAACTGTGAATAGATTGTTTAGCAAAGAGTGTTAATGATTTAAGATGTCCTGCAAACTGTGTGCAGAATATGAAAACAAATATGAATTTAGACTATGCATTGTTTGCAGTGTGTATGTCAAGTAAATTCTAACTTCAGGTTTATACCTCTAATACATAATAGAGTTCTATAGATCAGTGGTTTATGCGTCTGTAAATAAAGACAGACATGTGAGAGCAGTGTTTTTTAAAAAATCTGATTCTGCCAGGGATGGTTTTTTTTAGGAAGAGGCAAGAGAGACCTAAAAAAAATGGATTACAGAATAAACCACAGTACAAAAACAAAACAATACAAGTATTATGAAATATGACAAAATTGTATGCATCACTTATCAGCACAAAGATCCCAGGGTTCCTGTAGGTCCTTAAAAAGTCAGTTTTATAAGGTTATAAAAAGTCTTAAATTATATAAGAAATGCATTGATTTTTCTTCATTTAAGAGGACGGAAAAGCTTATACTTTGATGTAATAAACAGAACATTAATTGCATTGTTAATGTAAACATACGAAGCAGAATTGTGTTGGTTGTTGTTTTCTTGATAGTGTAAGCAGTGTTTATGTATTTAACCTAACTAAATCTGTGAGTTGTGCGTTCATCTGCTCTAAGTGTGACTCGTTGTCTTTCAGAGAGAGCTGGACAGCGCCGCCACACTCCTGGCCGGCCGGCAGGATGACAGCGAGCAGTCCAGGAAAAAACTCATCGACCTTCGGTTTAGGCTTCGGCCAAGAATTATCATTTCGGTGCATCCCTAATTTTATTACTTTCAGTATAAACGGTGACTAATAGCGGATAATGTATTGACAGTATCAAGGTCGTGTCAGTTGAGGCTCGTGCAGCGTATCTGACTCATGAAGAAATCAAAACTATAAGCGCAACAGCACACACAAAGAAACATGAACAAACATACTGCGGTAGAAAAAAAAGATAAATATTCTATATAATATATGCAACATCACACGACCAAGAGTGATGTTTTCCCGACTTTCAGCACGATTGCAAATGTGACATTTATTTTATACAACTTTAGTTCAATAAACAAGTAATATTAACTGACTTACATTTTAGACACATTATTGATCGTTTTTGCTCCATTTCGCTAACGAAAATAGTTCTACGCAAAGCCACAGCAGGACAGCTGCGCATCTCCGAGCAGCACACAACAGGGCAGTGTTGCCAGATTGGAAATGTCCAAGTATCGTACCAGAAGTTCAAAATTATCGTATTTGGAAGAAAATTATCGTACACGAGTCAAACGTTCAGAATACAGCTATTTATCTAGATGTTACAGCTATTTATCCTTTTCAGCACTCATTTTTATACTTTATTGCTAAACTATCAACCTCAGCTTTGAAACAACTGACCTAAGTGCGGCAGGAACGTTATCTTGTGCTCGTGAGAGAGAGAGTCATTCTCCACGATGATTGGTCGAGAAGACGTGAGATGAGATGAAAGACATGCGTAACACGTTCAAGTCTCCTCACAATCATGAAGGTAGACGTACAGCCCTATGATTACAACGACTATCATTTGGTGGCACAAAATTCTGAAATTATCGTACATTATGGTATTATTGATCGTACATCGTACAGAGGTCAAAATTATGGTACAAATACGATAATTATCGTACGTCTGGCAACCCTGCAACAGTGTTTCGTTATTGAATGATTCAGCATTTTTGAAAGAGTCAATGATTCAGTGAGCCATTCATAAAGACAGTCACTTGCTTCATTTATTGAATGAATCAGCCATTTGTACGAATAGTTTGAATCAATGACTCACTCATTAAGACAGTGACTTGCCACCACCTACTGGTGGTTTAATTTCATATTTAAAAGTATCATTGCATTTTTCCAACATTTCATATTTGTATGTCAAAAAAGTAAAACATTAATCTAATAACATTATTTAAGCATTTGCAATTTTGAGTAAATTAATTTATGCAACCTCTTATCTTCATTAAACAGTCTGAGTAAATACATCTAAACGGCACTTTCGATGCAGCTTCTGCGTTTCCTCTGCAGTGGAAAGATGGAGTTTGTTGATACTGATTTCATCTGAATGGTAACAACCATATAGTGTCTTATTATTCTAACTTAATGTATTGATTAAATTTAAGAATTTGACGTAAATGGTGACGTACATTTAATCAGGTTGGGAAAATATTGTCCTTCATAAAGTTAAAAAGTGTAACGGCAATCAATTTAAGGCAAATATCACAAATATGCTGATTAAAGTAATACCTGATAGAGCACTGATGAGACCTTTGCTTCAGAATAAATTACATTTACGCCAAAAAAAAAAAAAAAGAACCACCTTTTTTTCCCCCGGACAAGTAACTTTTTTACTCGGACAAGTGAATGACTGATATTGGTATATGAAGATTGAAACTAAATATATTTCCTATTTCAAAAATATATTTCATTGAGCTTCCCTGTTTGCAACACATATTTAGCACATACTTCAATTATATTTTGGCCTCAAAAATATATATATTTTGCCATATGGGAAGGTTGAGCATTTAGAGCTGCGGCAGCCTGTGGTCCAGACTGGAGCACAAAAATGCAGATAAGTGCAGGATGCACATTTCATTGAGCTTCCCTGTTTGCAACATATATTTAGCACATACTTCAATTATATTTTGGCCTCAAAAATATATATATATTTTGCCATATGGGAAGGTTGAGCATTTAGAGCTGCGGCAGCCTGTGGTCCAGACTGGAGAACAAAAATGCAGATAAGTGCAGGATGCACACTTTATAATAACATTGCAATGCTATTTTGTAAATTCTTTGAGCTTTAGATGTCTGTTTTAGTGTGTAAGTGCATTGAAGTGTCCATGATATTTGATTCTGAAGCTTTTTGAGTGTCAGATCATGTTTATTTCTGCATGCTTGCTTCCTCCTAACTAACAGTCTTTGTGTACTTTATATGTGTCTGATGTAGGATCTGAGGAAGCTTGTGGCTCCATTGCTGAAGAGTTTCCAGGCTGAGGTGAGTTTTCTCCTGAACCATAAGAGAAGTAAACCAGCAGATGAATGACTTTATTCAGGCGGTGTGATTTAATTTGTCAGCACAAGACGACACAACAAGACAGTCATTATGAGTAGATATGTTTGAGGGACAATCGGGAACATGTGTATGTGTGGGCGATATTTTCTCATCTGTGTCTCTTCTAGATTGATGCATTAAGTAAGAGGAGTAAAGAGTCAGAGACGGCCTTTCTAAACGTCTATAAACGACTGATTGATGTGCCGGGTAAGTCTGTGTGTCATAACCATATGAGATGCATGATTAAAACATCATAATCCTCAAATATTTCCCTTTATGTTGCAATAATAGCAGGTAATAATAATTACCAGTCATTTCCAGTCAGAAGATGAGTCAACTGTATGCCATATTAACATGCAGAGGCCACACTGACTGCATTCTTTCAAGACTTTATTATTGTTTTATATCTGTAGATATAAAGCCCGAAGTTGACATTGATCCTGCTATGAAACATTACGAAGACCCCAGAATTCCCATGGGCTTTTAATAAAATTAGGTTTTTATGAAATTTAGGGTTATAAAAAGTCTTACTTTTCTTAAATGGTATAAGAAAAGTCTTAATTATCGTTTAAGAGGTCTTACATTTTGGGGATGGAAAAGCAGTAATTACGATATGGCTTAATGTGATTATTGAACTTCAAAAGACTATGATTGAATTAAACGTGAGCGCTGCACATAAAAACATGCTGCCGTTCTGCATTCTACAGATTATAATCATCAATGAATGTCACACATTTATGCCAATAGATTGCTAATGAACTACTGTTGGTGAATCATGACAATGTTTACTTTATGGTGTTTATATTGTAGTGTGTTTTAGTTGGTTGTAAGAATGCATATTTTATCTCAAAAAATTTTTTTTCAATTTGTGCGTGTATTAGAAAACATAACGTTCTGCAGTTTATTTGCTAATTGTTTAGGCCATTTCAATCATCATACAGTAACCAGCAACAACCACCCTCCTCTTCTCATCGAAGACATGAGATGCAGTATTAAACAGTCTCTGTCAATTGTAATGATTTTTGCATCTCTCTCAGACACTTCCACACTGCTGACATGTTTGCTGCATTGTAAAGAATGCGTGCCTCTCACTCTAACTGGTTGCTATTGATCGCGTCACGTCATTGTTCGGTACAGTTTATTCGGTCTTTTCGCTTATTTGGCCAAAGACCCAAAGAGTGCACTTTTTTTGCTATTTACAGCCCTAATTGGTGCATGATCCCTAATTGGTATATTGGTACATAAACCAATTTGAGTAGGCATACATATTGAATAAAGCATTTTAAACTTGCATATACCCTGATTTGCAGATTGTCTGGGCCCAGATGGTTCATTAAATGAAAAGAACTCAAACTTCTGTTGATCAGCTGTTTGAGAGCTTTGCTGAAGGTGCTGTTAACTGAGGGTGCATTGTAAAGAATGCGTGCCTCTCACTCTAACTGGTTGCTATTGATCGCGTCACGTCATTGTTCGGTACAGTTTATTCGGTCTTTTCGCTTATTTGGCCAAACACCCAAAGAGTGCACTTTTTTTGCTATTTACAGCCCTAATTGGTGCATGATCCCTAATTGGTATATTGGTACATAAACCAATTTGACTAGGCATACATATTGAATAAAGCATTTTAAACTTGCATATACCCTGATTTGCAGATTGTCTGGGCCCAGATGGTTCAGTAAATGAAAAGAACTCAAACTTCTGTTATAAGAACCTGTGTTGATCAGCTGTTTGAGAGCTTTGCTGAAGGCGCTGTTAACTGAGGCTGTGTGTGTGTGTGTGTGTGTGTGTGTGTGTAGATCCGGTGCCGGCGTTGGAGCTGTCGCAGCAGCTGCATCTGAAGCTCCAGAGGATGCACGACATAGACACGGAGAACCAGAAGCTGCGTGAGACGCTCGAGGAGTACAACAAAGAGTTTGCTGAGGTCAAGAACCAGGGTGAGACATGCACACACACATATAACAATGGAAGCATCCTGTCATCTTTTCCCCATGATGTATGTAGTAGAGATGAGGTTAGGCTTAGACTCAAATGACACGGCCTGGTTCATAAAAATATTTTTATTGAACTTGTTCTGGAAAAAAGTGGTGTTGGAACTAGGCCTGGGTGATAAAACGGTATCGATATTTATCGACGCTACACCTTCTTCGATAACGATATAAAAAATGTGCGATATAGTGCACGATATAGGCACGCACTATGAGTGACGCAGACAGCACACATAAACACGAAATGAGTGCTGTGCTGCCTGTGATGAGGAGATGAATAAATGAATATTAGTCGAATTTAAAATAAGCATTTGGATTTGAATGCAAAAATGCTACAATCGAATGTTAGGTGTGCATCAGGGAGCGTCATCAGTGGAGCATATATATGTTAATTTAGACGTTATGCAAATTTGTTGTTTGTCTCAATAAATTGGGCAAATTAAAAATACAGTGGTTAAATTTAAACATTTTTTTCTATTGCTCTGTTTTAAAAAAAGGTTATAAAAAATGCCGATAATTATCGATACCGAACAATATGAAACATATAGCGTTGATATTTTTTTTTGCTATATCGCCCAGCCCTAGTTGGAACCATGCTGCATTACTTTGCTCTCTGAATATGTTAAAGTGCCCCTATTATGAGTTATGAAAGGTTCATATTTTGGTTTTGGGAGTCCCCAGCAACAGGTTGACATACAATATATGCAAGGTCAAAATTACTATTTATTTTTTAACTATAATAATCAACACTCAAATTAAAAAATGTTATGCAAACATGTGAATTGTTTTTAAATTAACTTCTAAATTATACAATTTCTATTTGTTGTTGAAATATAATAATTTGCAGAGTCATAACTTGTTTCATAAAATAAATAATAAATAATTACGACATCACTAACAGGTAAAATAAATATAGTGAAGTATAGGCCTAGTCTAATATTTCACAAAATGCTCTTCACTAGATTCATTTCTCAGCAAATAACGAGCTGTGGACACTGATGACTTGCCTGTTGTATATGAAATGCTTCGTGACATTTTGTTTACAAGCTGTTTAAATGACGTCTTTCCGTAGTTGAAACGCTGATTGAGCGAGTACTGTGAGGGGTGAGATGTTCATTCATGTTTATTTTGCGTTAAAACTAGTAATAAAGATGAAGGGATGATCACGCTGTATTAGCACAGGTTGTGTGTGTTAGTCACAGCTTCACTGAAATTTGCGATCTGTTTGTAGAGGTGACCATTAAAACACTGAAGGAGAAGATCAGAGAGTATGAGCAGAGCATGAGGAACCAGGCAGAGAATCTGGCCCTGGAGAAACACCAACAGATTCATAAAAACTATGAGGAGAAAGAGAGGTCAGTACCCATCGTGCTCCATCTCATCTTTATATAATCCACAGCTTAAGATATCTAAATCATGAGCGGTCCACCTCACGTTTACTGTCATCAAAGCAATAGACCAGCCACTGAAAAGCATTAAACGTTCTATTCTGCCACTTCAGATTTTGGATTTCTAGTAGGTTGTTAAAATAGTCCACATGATTAACTTGTAATTCTGAAGGTCTTTCAGTATTTTGTTTTCAACCCTGATCAAACTCACCTGCCTGTGTTTTTCAGGCCTGGAGATTTAAAGATCCCTGATTGAAATAATTGGAGTCTGTTTTCACAAATGACTCATCATGGGTTTAGATGCTGTTCCTCTCTCTAGCTGGGTTTCCATCCAAAGTTGCAAATTACATTTATGCGCAAAATTGAAATATCGCGTAAAACATTTGCGAAAAAAGCACCGTTTCCATCCAACGAGTCAAAGAGAACAAAATCGTCACCTCCTGATAAACTGGCACTAAATATCACTAAGAAAAGTAGGAGAAGCCACTGAATATAATAATTTTCATATATAATAAATGACTTGCGCCTCAGAACAAGCAGATGAATGACACAATAAATGTGGTCATTGCTTTCGGAGGCGGATGCTGCT